ATTATTTAGTATTCACCGTCTTCACCGTATTATACACAAAGCCATCCAAACCATCAGAAGTATATCATAATAAAACTTAAATTGCTATAGTTTTCATCATATTACACCGTGTTTGTAATGCACACAAATATTTATAACAATAATTTAGAATAATATATAGAATTACATAATAATGATGGTGTTAAATATAAAATATTGCCATATAATAAATAGTAATCGCATCATACATTTCCAGTTTTAGATAGGTACTCATAAATGGCTGTAGGGGCTCATAATTTTCCAATCTTTGTTGTGTACGAGTTATTAAGCTATCGAATAATTACATTGGCCAATATTAATTGTAGTTATGCATTGTACACATAATATTGCAATTTATTGTTAGCAAAATTTCACCTCGTTATTATTATGTATTTTAATTTTAACAATTATTACAGTTTTCAATAATATTAATAGGCTATATGTTCGCTACATCCTATGTATAAATTAGTCCATTTACTAATATTATAATAGGTGTAGATGTACAGTGTACACGTACAATATTAGGTATATTGTTTTCAAAGGTCGTAATGGAAAGTCAAATATCATAAATCAAAGATAGAAAAAAAATAATAATGACAATAATAATAGTACCTGAGAGAATGTATAAACTTTAGTGTACCTACTGCAAAAGGATTTAAATCCGTTTTAATTCGTTGCAGTGTTTGGAAGTGACCCAGTTCAAAGTTAATGCGAACAATGATTAAACTTTTTTTATAAATACTCTAGACACGGAAAGGCACTTGGCGAGTGTACTCATTGTTGACAATCTATATTAAAGGTCTAAATGTCAATTAATAAATAGACTTAAATTATTATATTTTTGTTTGAATATAAGAAATACAATAGTAGGTATACAAAATAGAACGGAATAGCCAATCGACCCAGTCGTCGAGGCCTACAATTTTCATAGAAAACAAAATATTATACAAAATGCGGATAACATAAAAAAGTAAAATTTTATTAAACATTAAATGAGTCTTAATCTTAAAACAAGAAAGACAAATTTTTATAGTTTAAAGAATATTTTTCATATATACATACACAAGTAAATAATTTTCTACACACAGATATAAACATTTCTATAAAGTTTGACAAATATTAATAATAATAATTATTATTTATTGTAATAAATAATAACAAAAATATACAAAATACTTATATATAAATGGAAGTTGAGTCTAAATAATATTATAATAATTATGATATACGTGAGAACAATTAAAAAACCCTGGAATGTAAATTTCACATCTATTTCAACAATCCATAACAATTAATAAACTGATCAAGTTAAGTACTTACCTAAATAAAAATTCAAAAAATAATTGCATGACGTATTAAAAAAGCTTACCGAAACCAGAAAAAGAAATACTTTTAAGGAAAGACAGATTGTCATTTCAAGGAAATAACAACCTGATTTGAAATGGAATTGGTAAAAATGTTTATGTTTAGTAATATTGTATAACATCGGACTTCATAAAACAAAACACTGAAATTAATAAAGTATCAAAAAATTAAAAAAATTTAGGATTATTTTTAATGATTAATATTAGTACTTATAAATATTGCTTATGGGAATAATTCAATATTTATCAAAATTAAATAGTTGGTTTGCTGTTTCGAGTCTACGGGAATAAGGGTTAAAAGTACATTTATTTAAGTGCAAAGTATAATTACCCAAATTAGTTTAGTTATAATATGTTTTTAGATAGTATATAAACTTGTTTAAACTAATATTTTTTTTGTGTTTCAATTGAAGTAAGTATAAAATTAAAATAAGAAAATACGATGAAGTTATTTAAAGTACCTATTACGTCTACTTTATAAATGTAATAATAAATATTATATTTATTTAATAATAAATTATCTAAAATAATAGTTTATTTAAAAATGGAACTACGTTATAACTTATAATAACATAATAATATATTAATATACATAGTAAATCTACATATAAATAAGTAAACCGAGCGTTGACAGTAATAATAATAAAAGATATTGTACGATAACAAAATAAATGTGATTCACTTTTTGGGTGGGTAAAAAAAAATTGAAAATAATATAAATTTATTATTTGGATTATATAGTGAGGACATTTCAATTTCATTAAACTACGATCGTTTATGGGTAGGCCACTGAAGGATTTTCACGTACTTAAAGGCCAATTCGACGGATTTACACTACTAGTTTATAATTTTAATGAACCGAAACAAATTTAAGTCACCTCTCTACAGCCACCAATTTTGGCTCAAAAGACCTTAAGAGGACGTCGAGCGTCGCACCCGCTTGTGTTGTCTCAGTTTTACGCACGTACAACATAGAAATTCTCGTTCCCTAATTTCAATATAAAGTTTAAGTATGATAAAGTATGCGCCGGTCACGATCGAAAAGACGTGTACCTATACCATTATTAATTAATAATTATTATGTAAAATACTTATGATTACGCTGTTGATTTTAATTCGACCGTGTCATAACTAGATGAGGTACCTACCTATATTATACAATATTATAATTATATTATGCGTGCACGTTGCGTGTTACCGTATTTATATTATGTACCTATATAATTTTATTATTGTTATTATTATTAATATGACGTCCCCAATACGAATCGATTTAGTGATAAATCGTTTTTGACCTTCACCGCAGTGAAATGCTCGTAAGCATATTATTATTATACCATGTACCATAGGTAGTTAGATAGCTAGTTGATCGATTTGGTAAAAAAAAAAGAAAAGCTTTTCATTATTTATTTTACATTTTATTTATTTTTTAATATTATGTGGGCAAATATTAAGAAAACTGCTGTTATATTATGCTATAATCATTTATAATGTACCTACATTGTACATAAAAGCGGTGCACGATAACAAAACCCTACATGTGGTAATATCATCCAACGATTGAGCACGTTTTAGCTTTTCTGTCGGACGATTGGGCACACTTAGCAATTTAAATTTTATAAAGCACTAACCACTGGCCGAAAAAACAAATACGATTTACGTGCAACGTTCCCATATTAGGTATAACCTATTTAACATGAATCGAAATATGACAAATCAAACCCAATCAGTATATGAAAGAAATTTTTGTTTAGGTATATATTTTCTGATAAAGAATCAGGGATGGGCAAGCTACGAAATTAGTAGGGGGTTAAAACATTTACCCCTGATACACAACTAAACAAAATTTGTTTTTTATCATAAGCACCACCCAGTGCAACCATTGTGATCTGCATGATGTAGCTACAAATATAAATGCATCATAAATAATTACATACTTTTAAGAGTTATGTAAATTCGTAAAAATATAATAAAATATTCAAAATAACTTTAAAAGGTTATTAGTTATACCTAACTATGAATCTAAGTCCAACTGACAAGTTCAGATTTCATCATTGTACTTAACTCGATGAAATACACAAGTTTCCAAAAAAAATTCCAAAAATCGTTTGAGAGCTAGACTGGATAATTGTTATGACGTATTTAAATGTATTTGTGGTATACTTAGTGAATAATATTTAATATTTATCATGAAGTAATATTATCTTAGTTATGCGTACAGCTGCAAGCATAGGGGAGTCGGGGTTTTTTTTATATAATTTACCATAGTACCTTATAACTATAAATAATAATATTTATAATTAAATAAATACATAAATATGGCTTGCCAGTTTTAAAAATAAGTTATAGGGGATGGTGGGCTACTTGTGCTACTACGTCGCGACCCCCAAAATAGGTGAAAATAAAATCAGTCACCTCACGACCCCCTCCCTGTCCCTTATAATAAAATAATTTTTGAGTATAAAAAAATTTTAATTTATATTTTTTATTTCATTATTTATAAAACTATATTATTAGTTTTTTATTTTTTTATCATTATGGTTATGTATTAATTTTTTATTTTTATTGTAAATAAAAGGTTCGTTTTCTACTTCAGCGTTTAATTATTTCTAACCCATGCGACCCCTCATCTAGGTTAACCTAATCTAATCTAATGCTAGGATATAACCATAGACCTTAAAATTATAAGGTATATGGATACAACGCCCAAATTCTCCCCCCCCCCCTGTAATTACACATTTCAGCAGAATATTTGTTTTGGACGAAATAATCGTTTAAATAAGTTTATTTTTCGTCATTCTTCGTTTTATTTCGTCGTGTGGCTGCCGTGGGCAAGCGACGTTTTCCACACTATATGACATTTTCCATCACCACAATGCGAATAAATTAAAACTTTATTGTTATATAATACATAACAGTATGGGCATCGTCTCATTAAAATGTGGTTTTCTGCTGAAACTAGAAAATCGTTGTGCACGATTATCAACACAAATATTTATCTCGTGGCAGGCCAATAGAATTCCGGAACAAATAGGTGACACGAGTGCAAACATAATACTTGCAACCTGAATGTTGGACCTGTTCGTTGACATGAATTATTCATATTTAACTGGCGTATATCATATATAAATACATTTGGGGTGCGATGGTTAACATAATTACAGAAAATAGAATAGTTTTTCGCACAAAATAATTGAGCAACATAAGTTCGAAAAGTATTTTTGAAAACGTTAAATACCATAATTATTATAATATAGTATATTGCAACAACGGTATGGTTATTATTCAGATGGAATTAGTGTGGTAAAATGACTTATGAGCTTTTTCACCAGTTCGTTGTAAATCATGACACATAATATGCTTGTATTGTATTAATGTTATGTAATATTATCAGTTAAAAAAAAAGTCGCGAGATAACACTATACAATCAAATGAACAATATAATAATATTATAACATATAAATATAATACAATATAATATCCGAGCCGAAATATTATAAACGTCGAGCAATTTAAAATTTTTTGCGGTACACAGTTATTGTTCATGAGGTCGTATGGGAGAAAATAAATAAATAAAATGAATAAAAATCAACAACAATAAAAATACGTGACGTGTGTTCAAGAAACGACACAGGTTTTGTCGTCGGGTTTTTTCTCACTTTTTTCCTTCTGCCGCATTAACTTCTTGCATATTGCATCTGAACACAACAAACATATTTATACAAAACAAGCAAAAAAAAAAAAATAGGTATAGGTAGGTATATAGGTATATTCACAGAAAAATACACAACCAGAATAATGCAAATGGTGACAATTTATTTTACCTGGTATTATCATAATATGGTATCCCTTCCAGTCGAAAACCGACCGGATCCCGCATTCCGAATTATTATGCAAATGACGTGTTATATGGTCAACTGATTCTAGCTGGATAATTGAAAATTATTTCGGGCACGTGTACTAACGTTCATCGGTCATTAATTTTAAGAACTGACCTCGTTGTAGATAGAAACGTTATATATATATATGTATAGGCATACATATTATTTTTCCAGTCCCATAAAAAAGTGAATGACAAGCGGTGAATATCCCCCTTGGTTCATACAGTCATATCCCTTACTCGAGCAACCGTTATAAATGTTTTAAATTTAAAGAGTAACTATTATATTTATACGTGATAAAATACTTCCGTTCAACGTTATAGCCGAATAGATTTGAGATAAGTTTTTAAAAACTAAATAATATTGGAGAGGTACCTATTATAGGTACGCGTACGAGGGCTTTCATTATATAAGTCTTCATCGATGCGGAAAATTACTGATTTATATTTTATATCAATCGCTTCTATAATATACTATAATGTTTGTAACTATACCTAGGTAATAAGTATATAACTTCATAGGTATTTGTTATTGTTATCGCCAAGCCACCAAGCGACCTTACGTCGGTAGTCTTTAATCCAAAATATCAATATAAACGTTATTAACTTATTTTTAGATATTATTAAACACGAATTTTAATCATTTATTTCCCTCTTTATATTTTAAGATACTTTCATAAGATTTTCACAATAAAAACATACCGTTAAAACAAATTATAAAATGTGTGAATCTTTAGGAAATTATTGTCTTATTTTTTTGTATTTATTTGGGTCTAATTATTATAAAATATTAATACTATTAATATTTAATTGTAAACAATATACTTTGCATATTATTATAATTATTTACTTTTATTTGAACGTTTTGTAACGGCACATAAAAATACCATCATAGGTACAACAGCCTGTGCAGGGATGGTAAATTGTATACTGTATGTTGGTGGGGCAATAACAAACAAGTACCCATTATTACAATATTATTTTGAATACCATACATAATTATTGTGTATAACGCATAAACTGTTATTTATTATAATGGCCCTCCGACTTAAAATTTGGTTTGCCCTGCTTGAATATTTTACTTATTGATATTATCATAATACTATACACGTATGTACTTTATGTTATAACGTATTTTATGTACTTGGTGGTGGGGTTCGTGTTCAGTACCTTGGAATAATTTAATTATTGTTATTATTTACGAGATGGCCAAGCAAAATCGCAACTCTGTCAATTCCGTTATGTCAGATCGGTGATATTTTCATGAATTAATTTAAACTTCTTCGAGGTTATACATTAAATATATTATTATTTTGTTATTATATATAGAATTATGTATTTTATATATTATTATATAAGAAAACTATGCAAGTATACCATCTATATTTAGCATTTTTCTTCTGTTCTATTGTTTTAGAAAATTATAATATTGTTTATAAATGACCTTAATTCATAGGGATGTAGGCATATGACATATAATTATAGTTCGCTCCTTTTAAGCATAGTTTATATTATAATTAATTTTTATTCTTCACATGCAGGATATGCAGTTGGCATATTAACCGTATTAGTCATTACTTTTATTTCTATGTTTACAATTTAAACGTAGGTATACATAACAATATTTTACTATTAGCTTAAACTTTAAATTATTCATAATAGTATTGGGTGACTGGAGTTTTCACACACCAATGTTCAATTATTGTATTATGTATGAATGCGTTTAACGATGCTAAATGTGTTGCATGATTTTCCAATTAATTTATATTTAATGAAAAAAATCGTTCAAGTTTTACCCAGCAGGCAGCAGCGTATTGCATTAATCGTTAAACTTTCGAATCATACGAATGTGAGATGTGTACCATACCTAATATATTATTACACATGTTTACCTAAACTTATTTATTTTACACTGCAGCGCCTTCCGAGAATTGCTTAGTATACTGCTAGTAACTTGAAAGCGTGGGCCAACCGATGGGAAATCCATTATCCAAGTACTTTAAATTAGTAAATACTCGCGGGACATTGTCCAAATGAATAATATAATAGATTTTACCTGCAGTATACGCGTCGCTGTAATAGCTGATCAAATGTTATGTTTTAAAGAGAAAAATATATTATAGTCTCAGGTATCAACGTTCATAATAATTTATTACACATATACCTACGTGGGCACCAGTGGCGCCACTGGAGTTTAGTAAGTTCCCACACGAAACATAGCAGGTAAGCGGGTACATATTATGTAAGTTCCCTCACGGAAAAAAATAAACCCATACGTAAGTTCCCACACGACAATTTATTCAGACTTAGGACTTACAACTTAAACGTAGTTGGTTCAAATGTATAAAAAAAATTAATAATATAATGTGTAGGTATGGTCCATATATTATTTGTCCTTTCGCAAGCGTTTGTAGTAAGACTTGTATCAGAACTAGCACTAGCCCAAATACTAGGGGGGGGGAACTATATCAATAACAAAATATCAGATTATAACTTCAAAATAATTACACAGTACGTATGACTATGTGAAGGTGTATGAGCTTTAGCAATAAGCCAAATAAAATTTAATATTTTCTATTACTATTATTATAATTATTATAACTATTATTATTTTATACCTATACGTAAATTATATGTGGACTATTCCTACACATTATATTATTAATTTTAATTATATATTTGAACTAGATTCAATTGAAAAATTAATTGGACTTTTTTCATGCAACACAAAAACAAACAAATTTTAACTACACCAACTACATTTAAGTTGTCAGTCCTAAGTCTGAATGAAGTGGGAAGGAAGTTTATATTCGGTATAATTTTTTTCGTGTGGGAACTTACGTATACATACCCGGGTGTGATTTTTACCTGCTATATCTGGTGTGAGAACTTACTTTCGCCCACGCAACTAGGGGGGAGCTAAGCCCCTTAGTATTTCTAACCCTGTTTGCGCCTATAGTGGGTACTATAATATGCTCTATGCAGTTGTACACATGTATGAGAGACATATAATATTATAATATATAGGTACCTTCAGTCGTGTATATGCATATCGAATGTGTGTGTTTACTAGACTACTATATGAAATTAATTAAATTCATCGTATTTGTACGGAATTCCTAAATAAAATATATATATATTGTGTACATAAACAATGCAATTATATCGAATACGTGGCAAAAAAGTGTACTGGGAAGGACTATTCGGAATTTAGATTTTATGGACGGAAAACAAAACAAACAGTCGAAATCGTTTTTTTGAAAATATTAAAATTGAATAATTAAAAATGGATTATCCAGAAATAATAATAAGCATATGCAGTTAGAAAAAACGTGTTTTTATATTATACTAATCGACTACAATAATGAGCGATTCACGTTACTTTTTCTATTTTTCAAGTAACTCCACCACCACCGAATAATTAGTCTATTTATAATGCTGTTATTAATATTTTTCGGCAAAATACAGTATACCTACCTATATTAATTATTTCCTACTTGATATAATTATTTTCTGATATAAGGCTGGTTATGGTCTATCGAAATAAATTACGTTACCTGCTAGCGTATTCTTTTCGATCGTATTGAGACTATCGATGAGTTCTTCTATGGGGTCGAGATCGGGGCCCAGACTGTCGACCCAAATTCTCAACACTCTATAACCATGTTGTTTGTAACTGGACGGACCTGTAAGCAAAATATTGACGTCCTTGATGACTATCGTTAAAGCATTTAAACAATATATTATTATATTACGTTACTACACGGTACACGTCTCAGCCTGCAGTGATCAGAAGAAATTAAAATATATAGGTATTATTATAATATGAGCAGGACGTTCTGGGAAATGGCCACTTGCAAACTATGTGTGCGGTAACATGAATCAATATTAATAACGAGAATAATAATTCACCTCGAGTTTGCGAATTTCCTAGCACAGTCAATAGGCTGGACGAGGTATTAGCTCGAAAATAAACCTGCAAGTCTTTTGAAATAATCCGTAATAACTTCACCGAGGAGGTGATATACACATACAGTAAGTCAATAAAACTTCCATATTACCACGGATTATATAAAACCAAATGGTATGACATTTACTGATAAGTGATAATTCAAACCTACCTCAATGCAGTAGGTTCGTATATGAGAAATAAATTATTGTACAACATACCTTTACTATAATACAATTATTGTATCAAATAATATAACATTGGTTATGAATTGTGATTTGGAAGCGAGTGCCAAATATCAGTGATGCAAACAATCATTAATTATTTCTCATAAAATTGTTTTTTTCTGATAAGTGGTAATACTGATTTGAGGTAGGTTTTGATTTGTTTAAATTTATGAGAATTACATGGATTTATTGCTCGGATAGGAACGGTAATATCTGGTTTTATATAATTTGTGATATTAGGAAATCTCTTAGAGCATTAAAAAAATTCGTATTATAGAGAATTTCGTTATACAGAATCGAATAAATTTGGTTCTCAAAAATATTTCTTTAAACTGAAAATTGTCTTAAATGGAAGTGTTCGTTGAATGGAAGTTTCACTGTATATAATTATATATTATATATTAAGTATTCGAAGTCGTGTATTTTATAATTTAATTACTGCACGTGGAAAAGTGCCTATCGGAGCAGCAGCCATGCCAATTATGAGAGTACAATGACTCCATTGTGGTAGGAAACATGTTTATATTACTATAGGATCGGAAATGGTTTGGTTCCAATAGCATATTATTAAAATATAATTCCCGGAGTTACCGCATTCGGTTTTTGAGAAATTACACCTATTCGAAATCGGTTCGTAAACATATAACATTTTATTATTATACTAATATTATAATATTATTATGGTTACGATATAAATTAAAATGTAATTGATACAATTATTAAAATTAATTAATAATTTTAACCGTGCAAATAATAATGTTATTACCTATGTACTGGTGTTCGATCGCTTTGATCTGTTCGTCCGTGAACGCCCACAAATGAGCCAATTTTTTCCATTCGCCGGGACTCAGCTGTTTGTGGGACAATTTTCGCAGTATAATTTCTAGATTTTCGTCAGTCTCTTGCAGCGCTATCGAAACGTCCAAGTCCGGATTGCACTTCCATTTCCTCCGTTCTTCGGGCGTTTTTGGTCTAGTTCGTTTCTACGCACACACAAAAAAACACGAGTTTAACCGTTAATATTATTATAATATTAGAGTGCATAGCGACGATTAATGATTTCGCCGTGAAGAGTGTGTATAAATTGATCGCATTTTCATATTTTTATTTATTCGTTCACTACATTATATAGATACCTTGGGTGTGTACTCTAAACGAGCGGTTTTTATAATCATGTCCACGATAGCGGTGAAACTTCCTCTAGCTGCTATGTATAACGGCGTTTTGCCTCCCTGAGTCAGAAATAAAATATATCAACATCAGTTACAAAATACTAGTCGCGAACCAATCATCCATCAATAATATTTAATGTTGCTGATATGTATATTTTTAATGGACTTTCGGGTACATTTTTCTATTTAAATATTATAAAAATTATTGTTATTTATTTTAATAAAATATGTATACTTAAAGTAAATGAGCGATTTATATATTAGAAATAAATCTACTTTACCGGGCACCCTTTTTTTTGAATTTTTTTTTTTTTTTTTAATACATGGTCTTTTATGCTGAATTCAAAACTGTTTGAAAAAATTCCCGAAAACTTACCGTTCAAAAGTTATAGACGTTCAAAGTTGCAGTGTTTACGCGTGTATATCGGCACTCGTCCCTACACTCCTCGGCGCCGTCGCTCCGCTCCGCAAATTGAAAATATCCGCCAACTTGTTGAATTTTGAATTACCATAACTTTTGAACGGTAAGTTTGCGGGAATTTTTTTCAAACGGTTTTGAATTCAGAATAAAAAACCACGTATTTTGAAAAAAAAAAGAGTGCCCGGTAAAGTAGATTTATATCTTATATTATTATTATTATTAGGTTTATTGTACAATTGGTGATTGTGATATACCTACAGGTATGATATTAAAAATGACATAATTGTACTGACTTATGATTAATGATTTAGTACCTACAGCGTAACTCTGATATAAAATTTTAATTAAATTAAAATACAAACAGTTTTGTTTAAATTGTTGTTTCTGTGGACTAAACCATAAGGGAAAATTATAAATGTTTTCTTGTTGAAAATGTTTGACCTCGCCTCAGACGATTGCAATCGAGTTTTGGTTGTTTTTAATAATGTTTTTTTCCTAAGATTTTTTTTTTAAGTCTTGAAATCTCAAAGATGTTAATAATACATATCATATTACAATAATCACACATTTATGGTATTCATTGTAATTTGAATTTCACTGTGAAAAAAAAACTTACTCCTATTTATACATTTTCGGTAAGACCCAACCCAAGCTCGGATTAAGGGGAGCAGGGGCCATGGCCTAGGACCGACAACTGATATCAAACAATATTGGGCACCTGGCGGGTAGTACGTCTTCTATAATATATGGATAATGGATTTGTAATTATAATTATTATTTTTATGCTATCGTAATCGTAATATCGTTTGTTTTGAACTGCAGGATTATCATGGTAAGGACACGGAATGTTTAGGTTTTTGATGGTAAAAACATATTATAATTATTACTCATTATCCTAACAATTTACTTTGTTTTTGTACGAAAGGTTGTACTGTCGTCAGTTGAAGTCATAATATACTCACATAACATAATATGACAGTTGACAATGTCAGAGCGTCGCAATAATGTTATAATTGTGAGTTACATTTACGTTTTTAGGTTAGTGTTTTGTTCTACAAATATAAGTATTGAAGTATATTATTAATGTTATAATATTGGTCACCAATATTTTGATTGTGTTTATTGTCCCCTAATATTATTTGGCCCTGGACCCAAAATTATCTTAATCTGGCTTAACCCTACCTAGTATCATGATTGAAATTTTACTTATAAATTATAATTTATAATCCATTTTTAATGAATAGGACACAGCGATGTATCAACAATATTAATCATTATTATATTCCAGATTGAATTTATATGAGAACTGTCGTTAGGAGATTATAATAAGTAGACCAAAATACGAATATTGACCTGTTCGCGTTGTTCGATGTTGGCCCCGGCACTCAAAAGTAACTTACAGATTTCCGAATATCCCTGTTCAGCCGCTATGTGAATCGGCGACTGCAACCTCTGCAACACGCCAAAATGATTTCATTTTGTGTTCATATTTTTACACATTCGTTATAATAATAATATTTTATGTCGACGATAATGTCAGCAGCACGATTAAATATAAAATAATTATATCTTTAATCGTGGCCGGCAGACATACCGTTCACTTACCAGGCACGGATCCAGAGCAAAGATCTGGGGGGGGGGCATTTCTTTTACAACACAAATACAATTATAATAAAATGTTATACTTCATTCTTAATTTAAAAAATGTTGTCATAATAATAGGTATAGGTAATCAATGTGATAAATAAATTATTGATTATTTAATATATATATATATATATATATATATATATATATGTGTGTGTGTATATAAGGCGACAATGTGAAAAGAAGTTTAGATTTTGTTTATTTGTTATTTAATATATAATATTTATATTTATAAAAAAAAAAATGTCTGTGGGAGGGGCCTGGGCCCTTAGCCCCCCAACCTGGATCCATCCCTGTCACTTACCGTGTTTAAGGCATTGAGATCGGCACCCTTGGCGATCAGTATTTCCGCGATCACAACGTTGTTGGACAAACATGCCATGTGCAAAGGCGTGTTTCCATTCTGTTAATATTTTGTTTTACAGTTATTAATTAATGCGATGATTTTATATTTCATGTTCCCTAGCTTTTGTATTTACTTTGCTTTGTCTGTCGATATCACAATCAGCTGATAATAGCATTTCCACTATTCCCCGACATCCGTGGCTGCTGGCTATGTGTAACGCAGTCAGTCCTTTCTAAATACGTCCAAAAACGTTTAAATTAATACACGTGGACCATGATGGAACATAGTTATAATTTCATAAATTATAGTTACTCATATTATACTAGCTAGTAAGTACTAGTTACAAATATACAATATATAATTTAGTATAATGAAAACTAGTTGCTACTTGAAAAGTAATTTAGTAGCACAAATTGTATGTTATTTCTCATAACGTAAAGTGTTGAAAACTTAGATTTTAAGTGAACTTATAAAATGTATTAATAATATTATAGATATGTATAGTTTGTAGATAGTATATTTTATATATTATTATGATTTATTATGATTCTATTACTCATCAACTTCATTTATAGTATTTCGAGCACTAGTTATAATTGTAATAGAATTTGACCATTTATTTTTATGCACAGACAATTTAATATAACTAAATTATAACACATTATATGTTTATGCATAATAATATCTAAATAATCATAATTAAGAAACGTATTTTTAGATTCTGAGCGGAGCGATGAATGTATTGGTTTTACAATGATGTATGTTTTTATTTATATTTTTATATTTTAGATTCTGAGCGGAGCGATGAATGTATTGGTTTTACAATGATGTATGTTTTTTTTTATATTTTTATATTTTTATATTTTTATATTTTTGTGTCTGTCATCACGTTTTGGGACAGTAAAAGTGCTTCGATTTTCTTCAATAGTACCTTTTCTGATAGGAAAGTGAATCTAGTTGGTACTTTGGGGGGTCAAAAGTAAACATTTTCCAGTAGTTTTCACAAGCGCCGGGAAAAACAACATAAAAATTAAGGAAAAACGGGAATTTTTACGCAAAATCGATTTTCCAAAAAATCGAATTTGGTTTTTGGTGTAACTTTAAAACAAATGACCGTAGATACATGAAATTTTCACTGGTTGTTTATATTTGCATTTTCTATACACGATAACATTTTCAAAATATTTTGATTTATTTTGAACTGTTTAGGGACATTTTCATTTTTCATTTTTTTTTAGTTTTTTTTCTAGAAATATCAATAAAATTTTATTTGTTGGTTGCGAAAGCTTGAAAATTTAATAGAAGGCTCCTAATATGTTGTTTCAAAGGCAGATGAAAAATATTAAAAATCCTTAGTCACAATTTTTTTTTATAAGCATTTAAAGTTCAAAAATTGACAAAATATGGAAAAATCACGAAAATTAGCAAATTATTTTGAGTTAAGAATTCGTAAAAATTTTTCTTTTTAAATCTAAGATTTGAAAATGAAACACAAGATTCCTTATAAGATTATCTACCTTTATCAATAAAAAAATCTCTACCGGACAGTCAAATTAAATTTTTATGAGCGTTTGAAATTCAAATTTTTACAACATTGGATTTTCACTCGATTTCTCATGTAGCGATTTCCTTATTTTGTTGTAATTCAAAAACGAATAACTGTAGATACATGAAAATTTCACTGAATGTTTATATTAGCATTTCCTATACACCATACAATTTTGAAAATATTTTGACTCTTTTTGAGCTGTTTATGGACATTTACAGCTTTCAATTTTTTTAGTTTTTTTTTCTATAATATCAATAAAGTTTTATCTGTTGGGCCAAAAAGTGTAAAAATTTAATACAAGGCTCCTGATATATTGTTACAATATCAGTTGAAAAATATTAAAAATACATAGGCACGATTTTTTTTTATAAGCATTTAAAGTTGGAATTTTGACAAAATTTATCAAAATCTCGAAAATTATCAATCGTTGGAATTAAAAAATTATAAAATGTTCAGTTTTTATAACTAAGAGTTGAAAATTTAAAACAAAGATTCTCTTAAATAATTCATACTGTAACCAAAAAATCTAAAAAATATATAAACACACTTATTTTTTACAGACATTTAATTTCAAATTTAGACAAAATTTCATATTAAACCAAGAATTACGATTTTAGTTATTTTGTTGTGATTGAATAATACTATTCGTGGGTACTTGAAACTTCTAAAGTGTACTATTATATATCTATGATAGTATCACGGTTTTTGTTGATGTATAACGCGTTATAAGTATCTAATGGATATTGTGATATGATTAATTTGGAATTTATTATAGGTACCTATTATAGGTCAATTTTTTGTTTAATACCATAGATATGTATATAATATGCCTTATACATAGACTGACATACCATCACCGCTCAGAATCGTTTTTCTTATACAATGATATTATATCATTGAATTCAAATTTAATACCATCCATTATACAGTGACCCACTTGTAACCTACTGTACAGCAGAGCGACACCCACTTGCCCACCTTTTTTTATTATTACTTTATTTGAATAAATACTCATAAATTAATTTTTCGTGCGTTATAGTAAGTATATAGTTATAGGTAGGTACATAAACAGTCAAATTTATATTAATTTAATGGGGTCATGCACTCATGCCATTTTAGTAATTAGCATAACTTTCATTAAAGATAAAATTCAGTAGATTATTATTATATACGTAAGAGGGGGTAGGTTATTTTTATAAGCTGTAAAGTTGTCTCGATGAAGATAGGTATATATTATGTTTTGAAATTCTTGTTGAAACATAATCTTATCGTTTACAATCATGTGTTATTTAGAATAAAACTGGTGTGAAAAAATAGAAGACATCCCGAAAATCAAAAATGTAAGAAGTATAGATGTATTACAAAATGTCCGTCAATCATTTTTCTATACAGAAATATAACCATACAGCCATATGAAATGGTATATATATATATATAATATAGGTTCGACTAAAATAATGGCAGTGTAGGATTTGAAGCCTTAGGGGCTCAATGTGACAAGGTTATCGACGCTTCCTTTTTTGGTTCACAAGCATTTTATGGATTTTTTTTCGTTTTGCCTTTTACTTTTCTCTTAAAAGGCATTATATAGAAATCATGGAGTGAAACATGTTTAATATCTAACTTGAGTACATGATACAACATTTAACAAATATACTTTGAAAATGAGGTAAAATATTTAATGGAAACAATATTTATAGGCTTATCTATATTATATTGGCCCTCTAAAATTGCAAAAAGTATCGTTATGCCAATTGTAGGGCTAATGAAATTTAAGCTGTTATGCTTTATAGAACATTGTTACCATTGTATTTATGGTGTATCTACTCGTATATGTGCTCTACACATAAGAATACACACCGTTTTTTTTCAATCGAAATGTCTTTCTCGTTGGTACATCATGGTTATTAAAACATAAAAGAGTTTTATATACCTGTCATGTGTAAGTCGAGAGTGAAATTAACTAATGTATCCACTCAGAAGTGGCTACAAAAATATTTATATTGTATTACGTATATAATACAATTTATGTGAAATTAATATTTTTTCCAATTTATATTATTATATTATATAAATATTAAAATAATTCACAATAATTCCTGAAGTATGTTTAAAAACGATTATTTAAAAAAAACTCAGTTACTCAAATGTGATTTTAAAAATGTTTAATACAATATATTTTCAAATTCTCGTGAATTTTTTCTACTAATTAAGGAGTTTTTCGTGAAGATACAAACTTCTGTTTTTCAAATGAAAACCCTTGTGTTATACTGTAAATTATTTACATTATTTAGTGGATACATTTTCTGAACATTTTGAAGTATCAAAATCAAAATTTAAACGAACAGTTTTTGAATTATTTAACCTTGTGTACTAAGGATTGATGGTAAAAGGATTGGAAGATATAGGGGTTATAGTGAATTAAAATTTTAATAAGTAATATTAATCTATCATCATTTTCAATTTTTAAAAAGATAGGTCCAAGTATATTGAATTCTAGATTCAAAATTACATATATTTTATATTTTCGTACAATAATATTTAAGCACATTAATTATCCTTGGTATAAACAATTTAATAACTAAATATATAATTTACAGGAAAAAAGGTGGGTTCTCATTTGAAAAACAGAAGTTTGTATCGCCACTTGATTCTTCTTAAGTAGTACAACAAATCTCAATAATTTCAAAACATGTACCTATATGGAAATACAAAATTTTAAAAATCAGAATATTAAAATATATTATTAAAGGCAAAATATATGTGAGCATGCTTGTTGTATATAATATATATTTATATATTTTACTGTTTAATTAAAATTTAAAATTTTGTTTAAACCAAACTAAAATACCAACTATAATTTGACTGATATAATATTTCTAATTTAAAAGTATATTTATGAACAAGAAGTATTTCTCATATTATTATATTAATTTGTTCACATTATTATATTATAAATTGTTTATTAAAAAGATTCAACCAAGATAATCTGTGTTTTATTTCTGTTTGTGTTTAAAAACACACTAAAAAATATTAAAAATTAAATATTTTATCATGAACCCCTCAAACAAGGTTGGTGGACTAAAGTATTAAATTCAATTTAAGAACTTGAATGAAAATTCTCTTATTTGCATTGTTTGTTATATTTGTTTAAAAGTATTAAAATATTTTTCAAATAATATGTCATTGTACTACCTACTTGAAAAAAAATTATGTTTAATAATAAACAGCTTACATTTTAGTTGTTTGATATTCACAAAGATAAAAATATATTATTTGTATAAACACAATGTTTTAGGGTTTAAGTGGTCCGTATTTAAAGAATGAAAATATTATGTACCTACCTATTCATTATTTTGAGTAATTCGTTTTATTTTTTACAAGACTAGAAACCATTATTTTGCATAATAATGATAAACAATCATACTCGCAGTTTTTTTTATAAAAAATAAGTTCAAAGAATAAAACTATTTGACACCCGACAACTCGAAGAACACAATGCCATCAAAAGATGTAACGAAATCATAAAAATAAGAATAAAAATAACCTTAAAGCTATATGTGTACATTGTATAATTTACGAGTTTTTTGTGTCCATAACGCGATGTCTGGGAATACCACACGCTCGCGTGATAGTATACTTTTGGCGTTTTGAATCAAGTTGAAATATCGTATATTATACTTTGAATTTTTGATATTGACCCGTTTTGTGTGATACGAGTCGTATTCGAATAGATGACAGAATAATTTAAAGACGGTCCTCGGGGCAACACTCTGCGGGTTATACCGCTACTAGAATGTCAACACCTAAAACCCACAGGACGGCAGTAACAATATGACGTCTAGTTACGACGGTGCTAAGGAAAATAAAATCCACACGGATCCTGCAGATATACTTACTATGCTATAAACTTTAGGTATAATGATATAATATATTAAGTTAAGAAACAGCTGAGGAATCGTATACAGGTATTCACGTTTGAAGTACTATATGATACTATTATTTTTTATTTTTTTTACCACTTTTAACAATTGTCGCATTAATATGTTATAATTCGCACTCCTAGAACAAGACTGTCACAACTCAAAATTTATAGTTTTGAGAAAAATCAATTTGAAGTTTGGACTTAAGATATTTTAATGAATTTTTTACTTATGCGTTTGAAATTTAACACTTAAATACTTACAACCATACTTTACAATATTAATTTTTCAAATATTTTGAAATTCACTCTTAAACCCAAAAATTTAGACTTGTGGCCATTTACAATTTTTTAAGTAAATGCAAGACTGCCATATTTTGAGATGCGACTATATGAGAATTTGGCGCAAAACGAAAAGCTATTCTATTATAAATACAATAGAGTTATAATTCGTCTTGTGGCTGCACTATCACAAATTATAAAATGCAATACTGCCACAACTCTAAATATTGCTGTTTTGCACTCAACATATTACACGATAATTAGTTTTTATTCAGTGCAAGAACGCCACAAGTCGAAATAAGGCAGTCTTGAATTTTGACTTCAGTGATAATTTGGATAAATAAAAATAAGTATACTGCCATAAAGTAAATATGGCTCTCTTGCATTGAAAATTAACCAATATTTAAATAATTCAATACAGACACATCTCTATAGTGGCTAAATGAAAAATGATATTGAATGTGGCGTTCTTGCATTTAAAAGAGCTTATTTTTCTCTATCCAAAAGTAGTCATAACTCAAAATTCATGAATTTTGAGTTGTGGCAGTCTTGTTCTAGGAGTGCGATATATGAGCTGAAGAAACTCTCAAACACGAAAGAAATATTTTTATGACACTAATATATATACTATATACACCGGATCGAGGGCTTGAGGCGATGTACTGGCAGATGTCCCGAATGCAACCGAGAAATACGATACTTGGTAATAATATAGGTGAAGGTCAGTGATGCCAAATTTTTCAAACGTTACGTGCTAAAAATTACCTCATTTTTTTCCTGCGTGCTATTAAATTATGAAAAATATTATATCCTAATAAATATTATATTATTTCTTGTGTCCGTGTGTAAGTATTCAAACCACTCCTAAACTGCTCTATGGATTTGATGAAATATTGTGCGTTCTTGAATAGTTTAGATTCACAATTGGACCCAGTAGGACCAACCCGGAGAGGTGCTCAGACAGAGATTTTGAGATTTACGATGGAAATTTTTGTTTATAAATGGTTGCTATTGGTTATACCTAGGAGAAAAAATTAGTAGAAATTAGTATTTATTATTGGTGCCATTGGTTATTCCGGCAGATCAGGTAGAAGCATGCTACAAATAGAATTTTCACACATTTCCAACCAATGTGGCTGAATTGCACTTATCGGTTTGGATTGCCGACTTGATATGCCGTCTCAAATTGTCCAAGATCCGACGTAATGCTGAGTTGCACTTACTACAGCAAGTTACACCCAAAAGAAGTTGAACAATCAACATTTTTTTTAAGATTTTTAATTTTTTACGGGCAACGCAATGCTTGGGATCAGCTAGAATGATATACATAAATGATGGAAAATTGTGTTCTTATTATTTATTGTTAAAAATAAAATATAATAATGAAATAGGTATTTTAATTTTTCATGTGCCCTCAACATTTCTCGGCGTGACACGGATTTTTCATCCCTGTTATATATAGGTAGGTAATAACAATGTTTAAGATATTTTATTCGTTTGAGAGATGTGAAGGACTCGTATATAATAATAATAATAATAATAATAATACGAATAACAGTCGTATAATAATTATTAACAATTATATTATAATACTTAGCATGCCGGTTAAGCTCCTAAAAAACACAACGTTAAGCGAAAAAAACATGAACCATTGAGTCAGACACTTTTTGCACGCACATGGTTGGAATGTGTTAATATACTAATTACTAATATAGTAAAAGTAAAAGAGTAAAATATTATTAACACACGACAACTACAACTGTGTAATAGAAGACTGCAGGCAATGTATCGTTAGACAACTTAGACAACTCATTATCGATCAAATGAAGAACTAATACGAAATATTTCGTAGGCACACATATTAATATAATAAATTCGCTATCCCCGGAAATACATCTGCATTTTCGGATGATGTTGGATTGCAGAATTTAAGGAACTAAAACGTCTGGGTGGTGCGTAGCGCCACTGCACAAAACCATTTACCGAATATAATAGTATAATAGACAAAGACGTTTATAATATTAAAGATAGGTACGGTGTGCGACTATACCGACGAACATAGTACACCCCGAGACCCAGCTAGATTTCACCAGACCTCGGAGGCGTATACCTTAGACAGCGACCCTGAGAAACACATCGCCCGTCCGGATGACGACTAACGTACACCCGGTGTCTGGTAAGCCACAGAGCACGTGTATAATGATAGGCGGCATGTCAATAAAATCGATAACAGCATCGTTTGAAAAAAAAACCCTTGTGGGTTCTACAAGTGCGTGTGCACTACACGCGAGGTCGACTAAAATTAAATTACACCACAATAATATATTGCGCGTTGTGCCGAAACTGTTGCATTGTTGTAGTTATAAACGAAACACAATATAGAAATTAAAACGCTATGACGTAATAGCGATAAAACAACACCGTTAAAATATAATGCCTGCTGTATAGGCTATACTGCGAGAGGTTTGGGCATCGGGCCCGGTATTTATCGTATTATATACCTAATGTAGGTATACAATAATATTGACAACGAAACGGTCGAATATTATTATTTCTTACGCTATTTTCCAAGTTCGTCGGATTTCCAGCTTCCAATAACATTTGCACAACGAGCGTTTGTTTGTTTTCGACAGCCACGTGCAGCGGGCTGTTCTGTTCTTCGTCCTTCGCCAGCATGTCTGCACCGTGCCCGAGTAAAAAGTCGACCACGTCGACGTGGCCCTTTTCGCAAGCGGAATGCAGTGGTGTTCGCCCTTGCTATTAAATATTGTTGTTGTTGTTTGTGCGTAATATGAAATAAAACGTAATAATAAAATAATTAGGTTCATATTATAATATAGGTATTTTAATAATATTTATTTTTTTAATTTTTTTTTTTTAAGCCCTCGTAATAATATACATAAAAACATCGTACCAATATTCGGGTAAGTGTAGGTATATAATGTTTATTGTGTATAATATACATTATCAATAAATCGTGATGTTATAAAAAAAATTCCAAACCATAAATTATTCATAAAAAAAAATGGTAAAAGTTGCACGGATATGATTATATTATAACTCCTTGCCAGTATTGCGGGGATGCGTAATATGAATTGTTAACAACGGCATAAATACGAATGCGGTGGGAAGATATATTATAATATCTTCATTTCACTCCTTATTCGCCCGCGTCATAATGTTATCGAAACAAAACTGTTTGTTTAAATTATATTTCGTTTGATGAACGCGGTCGTTAGAAATTTATTGATGTATTAGATGATGTATAGTAACATTTGAATGTAATTTATTTAAGGCATTTCAATCGTGGCTTATTTTTTACGTGATAAGATATTTATTTTTTTGTTTTTAAATTAATCGATGCATTATTTTATTCGCTGATGGTTAAGACACAAAAAATATATATTATTATGTCTATATCCAATAATGATATATAGTGGATTACTGTGACAAAACACATAACAGTTGGTTTGTTTCAGCGGTGTACTTTAAACTGCTCAAACGACAAAATCATATTTTCCACTTGGTTGAAACAATTTTATTTCAACTTTGTATTCGAAAAACGTAGTCCTTGCAACGTAAGAGAGTTTTTATTTATAAGACCTATATAGAGTAGGTATAGACGAATGATTTGATCCCATACATCATTACATTTCATAGCTTACATAATTTTTGTTGTTTAGAAATATATCATTCTATATACATATTTTCTATGTATTCTATCTGGGTTGCATGAATAAGTCATGAGTACCTACGTCATATGCACCTAACCATATTGTAATTTTATTACTCGAGTATTTTTAATACAATAAATAATAATAGGTATCTACCTACGCACATTACGTTTACCGATTTCAAAGCACCAATAGTCTAAAACTGTAATATATTTGTTCGTCCACGGGTCACGGGTAAAGTGGTTTTGGATTATTGCTCTATTATTTGGAGGAATTGACGTTTTTAGTATCTAAGCACCGAGTTGGAAGTGTACAAAACGGGTTTTCGTTGAATTGTGGAGTAATTATTTTGAATGTGCATGAATTCTCAAATGCTTCATTATGATATTCTCTTACTAAATTCGCCACAACTAAAACCATTGGAAAACAAAAAACAGGGATGATTAACTGTTTCAATTTAAACCGTCGTGGCGAATTTCCAGAAAATGTTGGTCACTAACATTTTAAGGATCCCCTTTGTACATCGAACTAGGCAGGTGGTGGTACACTTTGTTAATTAATCATTCTCATATTGCACAAATATATTGGGTTTTTGTCTTATGTAAATGAGTTATGATTGTCTATTACTAGAACTAGAACTGCGTGATCCGTAAATTATTTAAATATCATTTCATGCATTTTTTTTTAAGCCAGAAACATTTATTCAAAAACCATAATCATTGTTTGTAATATTGTTCGTTCAACCTGGAATTTAACTTTTGTGACTAAATGAATTAATACATTTTTTGTTACGTAAATATCTATATAACTATAAGTATGTCAACTTAAAATTATATATTGGGTTCAAACTTCAAAACCCACTTATGAAGTTTTAAGTAGGTAGGTGAAATATTTACACAGTTATAACTATATGACGTAGTAGAAAGACTAAAATAAATGTCGGCAAGTCGGTCACGCGAAAGACTTTCGACGCTCACGACAACGATTGACAACCGATAACATATTTTATAATATAATATACTTCGGTATCTCTATAATTTTTCAAAGGTGTATTATATATATAATATTAAAATGTAATAAAATTAGGTAAAAGTTACTTCGTTGGAAAAATCAAAAAAAAAATCGAAGTACATTAAATTAAGTTTGCTATTAGATCAAATATTTTAAATAAAGAAATGTTAAGTTAACTCAGTGGCATAGCCAAAGGCGGGTTAATAGGCTAATAGTAATGGGGTTACCCCCCCCCCCCCCTCCACCTCCACTATAAACCGATTTTATGCATGTATACTTTTCTACGATTTATTAGTTGTCTAAATGTAGTTCAAATTAAAATTTGTTTGACAGGTGTTACAATATAAGAGTACATAGAGAACAATGTCAATAATGATATTTTACCACTAAAATTTAAGCACTTTTGACACCAATTAAATTTGATTTTACCATATTCAAGTTCATCATTGTCTTATGACCGAAATATTTTAAGTGTGAAATTGTATTATAACTTGTTGGAATAACTAACGTTAAATGTGTTACTACTATCAATAACATTTAATGAATGTGATCCACCGTAGTGGTAAACGAGTGATTTTAAAATTGATAACGTTTTATCACCTGTCGATAAACAAAATCTTCAGTTTTTTTTTTTAAATTTATCATTATATTATAAAGAATTTATTAATTCTTATTGAGATCCGTCATTTCTATTACCCGTACTAATTTCTTAAGCTATGGTGATGGCTATTTTTTATGTGAGTTAATCAAATAAAAATAGTTAGTAAACAATTAAACTTAAGTAAAAACAAATTTAAAATGCATATTAATAAATTTTCTGAAATGCCTTTGTTGGTGATGGGTGGACACATCAAATCCTTCCTTACCTCTTTGACATACGATTCAAGAAAAAAATATACAGCTTTCCGTTTAAAAACCCTGGCAACGTCATGCCACTGATTTAACTTTAATGGTTTGATTAAAAATGTAATATGAAATCTATGACATGAAATACTTTTAATACGTGCATATTAAATATTTCAATTGAAAAGTTGGCCATAAATTTAAAATACGCAGTTATTATATACCTGTTACCTAGATAATATATGATGACATTAGTGTCTTATGAACAATAATAATTTTGTGCTAACGTATAAACGACGGTATGTTGTAATGGCATTGTGGCTAAACGTTTAAAATATGTATACTTCAAAAATAAAATTACATCTAATATAAAATCACAAAACCATTAGGATAGGCATTGAATGTATCGAGCATCGAGATGTGACTTAAATTTTAACAACCCCTAACCTAATTGTATAAGACTAATCGCTTCTTATTGTCTCTATTTTAAAATAGAGAGAAACTTTAAAAGGTTGATCAGAAAGTTGTTAGTATTGACCGTACAAATTAGCTACATCCAGATGTGAAATGGGGCGTGTGTGCATTATATACATTATATATATATATATACGCAGTTTAAATGGTGTTTGAAAATCGTTTACTAAAGGTAATTCTGACCAGCATTTTTTTTTTTCGTTAATGAAGTATTAACGATAAATATTCGTAAAGCTGTTTTGAACATTTTAATTGTGTATATTTTATACAGGGTGTAACAGAAATACCTGGCAAAAATGAAAATTTGATACTAGTTAATAGGTAGTATAATAAAAAAAAAAAAAAACGGAAATTAAGTGGATAATAAATAATTTAAGATTTTCTCATGTCTGAAAATTCATTCCCAAAAATAATTTTTAGAAAAAAGTTATTACGTTTTGAATTAATTGACACCAACAAATTATTGATAGTTTAAAAAATAAACTACTTGACTAAATAAACGTTTTTCTAAAAATTAGATTTACAAATTTTACAATTTTGAATTGTTCCAAAAAAAAATTTAACACAATTTAATTATTTTTATTTTTAGTATAAAAAAATTAAAACAAATAGCTATTTATACTGTACTGTTAGGGATAGCATCTGCTATTCATAAATAAAAACAATGTGTAGTATTGATTAGAACAAAAGTTATTTTATTTACCAGGTCATCCTGCTACATCTTGACGTATATAATATACAAAAATAAATGTATGTATTTATATAATACATTATAATATACAAATACAAATATATTTCTGTTTTTAATATTTATTTGAATTGTATTATAATTAAAACGAATAATGAAATGTATTGATATTTTTAAGACTACGTTGCTAAAAAAGTGCAAAAACAATCTTTTTTTAATTATCACTGAAACTTTTAAATTTCAGTAGAACAATAAAGTTAAACGTATATTGTATGAACGGCAAAAAGTTACAACGTACGCTCAAACATAGCTGTGAAAACTAAAAAAAATTCCCTAATGTCGATAATAGTATCTAATTCCATTTGGGAATATCGTGACAATACCCAACAACCTGCCAACGTTTTTTTTTTCTCTTATAGATATAGATTTGAAAGGAGACTGCCAAGATTGTGCTGCCAAATTTATTAGGATACCGATGTCACCAGTTTGTACTGACATACATATTGATAATATTGTTATAACATATCGATATATCTCAAATATATTATGATATGCACATTTGTCGATGTAACGGGTTTAGTTAATAATATTTTGGTGTTATCAGACATGGTATCTATTATATGACCTGTTATTTAACTGATTTTTACACATAAGTGCCTAATATACCTACATAGTACAATATTTATGACGAAGAACATAATACTATTACTTACATTCGTAAAATCATGGAATACAATACTTTTATCAGTAGTGTTTTAAATCGTACTAAACTAATTGTTTTTGCTACAATAATAGAAGATAAAACTAAACTAACGTACGAATAATATTATGTAGTATCCAAACGTAGGTACTCAAATTATACTATTGATCATTAATTTCAACAAAGGTCAGCTAGATAATGAAAAAAATGAATATGAGCTAGTTAAACTGACGTTAAGAACCCTAAGCCATTAGGTTAGTTAAAAAAATATCTTCAAAAAAATTTACACTTTTTGAAATAATGAGTGTTGTTTGATAAAAGAATCACCCAGTATTATATTATTTATATTATAATAAAATGAATGTAC